GAGTTCTCAACTTCCCTACTACTAGTAAGAGTCAGAGACAAGTCCGAAACTGAACGTCCATAACCCAGCAACCCAGCACCCCTTTTTGGGGTTTCGGGATAGAGATTGGGTTCCCGCGGTTTCTTAACTTCAAACGAGTAAGGCATCCAAAGCAGACGCCCCAAAGACCGAAAAGACCTCGCACATCAAGTCCAGGGCACGGGGTTCTGCCAATCTGCCACACAGCAGGTCCCCACTACATCCTGGGAACATTCTGGCGTGGTGCGTTCGGGGGGCTTTGCTTGGAAGCCCTGTTGACTTAATTAGTAAGTCTACTTAGTATCCGCCAGAAACCCCTTCATAATCCCGAAAACCCAACTTACTAAGTCACTTACTAAGTCGAAAGAGCTTCCTGTGGTAGGAAATGTAGGGCGCAAGGGTTCAGCTTCCTGTGGGCTTAGGGTTTAGGGTTTAGGGGTTCTCAGGTTTTAGGGAATTGGGGCTTAAGGTTCCTAAAATTTACTACCCCAATTTACTACCCCTTCCCCCCCCCCCCCCCCCAACAACCCGAAACAAGACATAACCCTAAACCCTAAACCCTAAACCCTAAATAAGGCTTAGGATGGCCCTTAACACCCTCTTGAATATGATCCTCTTAATGAAACCCAAGAAGGGGAAATGCAAAAACAAAAACGTCTCACGGGCCTAGCTAGACAGGCTTGCTGAATCGAATTTAGACCCTAAACCCTAAACCCTAAACCCTAAACCCTACGCCCTACGCCCTACACCCTACGGCCTACGCCCTAAACCCTAAACCCTAAACCCTAAACCCTAAACCCTAAACCCTAAACCCTAAACCCTAAACCCACAGGGGAATCTGGACCTTTCATGGCCTTGCTTTGGCATGGCAAGAAGGTGCAGGACACCACACCCTTCGAATTGCTTAGGGTTTTGGGTTTCGGGTTTCGGGTTCTAGTTCGTCTAGTTCATGGTTGGGATAATATTAACAACTTGAAGTTCTTTTCCCTATTGGGTTTAAGTACCCTTAAAAGAGTAAAATAATACCCAGCTATGACAATCAACGGTGACAATATATAGTTTAGGGTTTAGGGTTTAGGGCTGCAAAGATAGAGGATGATAGAGGCTGCAGGGAGAAGCTAGCAGTCTGAGGGTCGGGAGGGAGCTCAGGACCTAGCGCGCACACAAGGTGAAAATAAGCACACAAATGCCATCCCGTAGTATATATATATATATACATATATCTACTAAACCCCCATCCCCGAATACTCAGAAGGAGGATCCTAGCCCCCTAAACCCGAAACCTAAAACCCCCCAAACCTCCCAAATCCACTCAACCCGCTATATAAACCTCAAAACCCCCTAATCCCCTAACTCCCCTAAGACCTAGACGCCCAAATCCCCTAACCCTAAACCCCTAAACCCCCTTAAACCTCCTTAAATCCCCTTAAATCCCCTAAGCCCCTCAACCCCTAGACCCGAACATGAACCCCAAAAACCCCTAAACCCCCTAAACCCTAAACCCCTAAAACCCTGAAAACCCCCAAAAGCCGTTTAGAAGAAGCCGTTCGGTCTCCGCCGGCCTGTTCGCGATGGCTGCAGGAACGCAACCAAGCCGGGAGCCAAGAATGCCGAAATCTAGGCTGGGGAAGTCGTGGGGTTTGGGGTTTAGGGTTTAGGGTTTAGGGTGTAGGGTTTGGGGTTTCGGCTTTAAGGTTTAGGAGGGTCTGGGCTTGGGAAGTCGTGGGGTTCATGGGGTTTAGGGTTTAGGGTATAGGAGGGTTCAGGCTTTAGGGTCTAGGTTTTTTGGCTTGGAAATTCGTGGGGTTTAGGGGTTTCGGGCTTAGGGGGGGGGTTTAAGTTTTAGGGTTTAGGTTTTTTGGGTTTTTGTTGGGTTGAGGGCTTCGAGTTCCGGATTAGGGGGGAACAGGGGCTCAACAGCTCACAAACAGCTCAAAGTATGATGTACTTGAACCAAGCCAGAAGCGCACAATCGAGCAGATTTAACCTTGATGGCCTGATTAAAGGGAAGCGTCTCATCATTGTTGGGCATATCTAATATAGGGACTGAATAAATAGAATAGGGTCTTGGGGGGGGTTGTTATAGTACATTTGCAAAGGGACAATAAGGGAATACTAGTCCGACCCCTATGTTACCCCAGTAGTTATAAGCCAATTGGAACTATATTAGGGCACTTAAGGGGCTTATAAGTGGGTTGTAAGTACAGTTATAATTGGTTCAAACGTACCCCTAAACCCTAAACCCTAAACCCCAAGCCCTAAACCCCAAACCCTAGACCCTTATCCTGAGGGGGCTCTAGAAAAGAGTCCTTCATGTACCATACGGCTCAGTGGGTTATAAGTACACTTATAGTTGGTCATGATGTACCATACGGCTTAATGAACCCAGCCATGCTCTGACCAGCAGCGATGGCCAGCGCGGTTCTTCGTCGTCGCGGCATGGCTTCAGTTGGTTTTGGGTTGTGGGGTTTAGGGTTTCGGGTTTAGGGTTTAGGGTTCAGGGTTTAGGTTTAGGGTTTAGGTTTAGGGTCACTAGGTGTATATACGTATATTTATATATAGATGTATGTATGTGTGTGTGTGTGTGCGTGTGTGCCCGATTTAGCCTTCAAGAAGTGTACGTACCAAACCCCTTAAAAACCCGAAAACAGAAATCCCAAACTGAAATCGGGGCAATACTTACTTCTTCTGTCCTCCCGGCAAGTTGCTTAGGGTTTAGGGTTTAGGGTTTAGGGTTTAGGGTTTAGGGTTTAGGGTTTAGGGTTTAGGGTTTAGGGTTTAGGGTTTAGGGTTTAGGTGGGGCGACATTCCGAACCTACGCGCCAAACTGCCCTGAGCTGTTGGCCGGGGCATGTCGTCGTTCTTCTACGACCCGCGGCAGCCTAAGCCCTGATAACCCCTCCCCCATTACACAAGAAAACAACAAATATATATATATATATACATATACATGTATAGATAGATAGATAGATAGGTAGATAGATAGATAGATATAAATACAAATAAACATAAATATGAATATAAATATAAATCTAAATCTATACATACATACATACACATCTACACAGTGTTTAGAGCAATAAGAAGAGCTAACTGCAAGTGGGGGGGGGGGCCTTCCCTAAAAACCCACGCCTTGCGCCCCTCATAGGAGCTCTGGCTCGTCCATCCCCGAGCCCAAAACCCCATCAACGCGACTGAGGGCTTAGGGTTTGGAGTCCTCACCCCCCCGCTCCCTTTCTAAGGGGATAGTTGTAGTTACATGGCCCGTTTGTATGGACCCTTAAAAGGGGACCCCTTGTGTACCAGGTATATACCCTATACAACCCAAGGGCCTATACTTCAGAACCCTTTAAGGGAGGGCCCATGTAACTACCCTTAGACCTCCGCAAGCCCCACGTCCCTATGTTATCCCAAACCCGACCTTGAGGGTCACGCTGGCCCTGAACCCTAAAACCCCCGGAACCAAAAGCAACTGTAAGCCTCCCCAGGCCCTGGCTACCCTGAAAAGGGGTTCCGCAGCCATCGAAACCCAGCCCCGTCCCTACACCCCGCCAGAGCCCTATGAGTAGCAGCCCTATGAGTAGCAACCCTATGAGTAGCAACCCAATGGTTCTGTCACAGAGAACCCTACCTTGCACCCCAAAGCCCAAATAGGTGCCTCCCTCCCCCGGGTCTCATCTTTTTCGCCCTTGAGCATGGCGTGCCCCAGTCCATAGCAGTCCTGAAGCACATCCCAGAATCATGATCTTCCCTGCAGAAAACTCTCTCAAGAAAACCGTAGTCGCCAAACAAAGCATTCCTAGTCGCAACAACCTGTCAGCCCCTAAACAATAAACCCTAATACCCACTCCTGCGTCCTACCCTCCAAGTTCCAACTCCCTGTTGAACTCAGGGACCCTAAACCCTAATCCCGAAGCCCTAAAACCCTACACCCTAAACCCCCTAGGCCCGAAGGTTTGAGTGTAGGCTGTGTAAGGGAGACTTTTGTGAACCGTCTTAACTACTGCCCTTAAGCCTCCCTTATGTCTCAAGGCTGTCTTCGTGGCGCGAGTTGCTCATAGTATCCACATGGCAAGCCCTAGAACTACCCAGGAACCCATCAGCAGTGAGCATTGCAAGCCACGCAGTTTAAGCATGTCCGCACGATGATGCTCCGCTTTGTCTGGGTCAGCTCGCATCCAGAGCGCTTGAGGGTTGATGATGCAGAAAGGCAACCAGCACTCTAGAGAAGCTTACATGCGGGTTTCTGTGCTTGCAGAAGCATGTGAGCAACTCGAGTGGTTCAGAATGACAGGCCTCCATACCACGATTACCCCCCGAACCCTGCAACCTGAACCCTCTACCCCAAACCTTCCCAGGGCTGAATCTGAAACGATGCCCGGGCTTGGGGTTCGGGGTTGAGGGTTTGGGGTTCAGGGGTGAGGGTTTAGGGGGTTTCTGGCTTATGAGGAACGGAGCCGGCTTGGTGGGCTGCCTTTCGGAGGGTTTAGGGTTTAGTGCGGTTCAGGGTTTTGACATCTTCGTGTACATCATGGCATCTGGGCTGTGCACGAGGCTCGTGGCGAGACAGCAAACAAACCAGTCCGCACAGAATGAGACCAGGAAGCATACCCGAACCGCCCAAACAGAGAGACAGAGGGAGAGAGAGGAAGAGAGGAAGAGAGGAAGAGAGGAAGAGAGGAAGAGAGGAAGAGAGGAAGAGAGAAATACAGAGAGAGAGAGAGAGGGCGAGAGAGAGAGAGAGAGAGAGCCACACGCGGAGAGACACAGAGGCACAGAGACGGACAGACGGACAAACAGGCAGACAGACCGACAGAGCGACGGACAGACATACAGGGCAAAAACGCACACATACATACAAACAAAAAGGAAAAGAAACACATGATACTGATGCTCGAACTCACAGCACACGTCATGCTGCTGTGCACCCGTTTTTTTGCAAAGGCCAGATCAGCGGGGCCGTGTTCCGTCTGACCTGTGCCTCATGATGGGACCTTGTAGACGGCCAGGCGGTGGGCTGCTCCGAGCGGGTACACGTTCAGAGCTTTTTCTCCGCCACAGAAATTGTCGGTAACCCCATCCATGTTCGGAAGGGTATCCAAAAGCAAACATTGGGCGGCACCTTCGCGGTCGTAACCTTCGGGATATTCCATGCCGATGTAGCTCTTGCTGTCCTCCCGCGCCAACTTGAGGCACTCGAGTATGGTCTTGTCCAACTTGTGGCCGCCCTTGCGCTTGGCGCCCTCGTTGACGTAGCAGCCCATCAGCGGTAGGATTTGTGCCGTGCTGTCAACACTATAGACAGCCAGCCGATTCGCACTCCCAAGACGCAGAACATCCATGGCCAGCTCTTTTGTGCACTCGGAGTCCGGCGCCTTTTCCTAGGCTGGCCCCTAAAAGCCCTCTGAAAGATATTCCTGGACATGATCCTCTTAAACACCATAAAGGAAAGTGTAAACTGTCCCAAGAGCCTCCTTGGGAACCCTAAACCCTAAACCCTAAACCCTAAACCCTAAACCCTATAAACCCTAAACCCTAAACCCTAAACCCTAAACCCTAAACCCTTAAGGAAAGTGTAAGCTATCCCAAGAGCCTACCTAGTTTCCATCGTGGGGAGGAAGCTCAGAAGCATGCATTCCGCCACGCCTTCGGCGTCAAATCCCTGCGGCCACTCCATGCCGATGTAAGCCTTCTTAGCAGCCCAGTAATAGGGTTTAGGGTTTAGGGTTGGGTTTAGGGTTGGGTTTAGGGTTTAGGGTCTAGGGTCTAGGGTCTAGGGTCTAGGGTCTAGGGTCTAGGGTTTAGGGTTTAGGGTTGAGGACCATATTAGAATAAGGGCACCCTTTTTTTGGTTGGTTACTTTATTAAGGGAACCCAGAACAAAAAAAGGGGCTACCAAGCCTTGTTGCCGAATTGGGCTTTCAGGAGGCACATGCTCAGCAGCATCTTCCCTTCGTGCTTGTTGACTCGGTTCACACCCTCGTTCTTGTAGCAACCTTTGTAGGTCGCCATGTGTGTCTGCACCTTAGTTGCTGAGTTCAGAAGCCTTTCCTAAAAAGTGTACACCTTCAGTCCTTGAAGGGATTATAGTCTACCAAAAAACGTAGGGTGTACTCACTCAGCTACAAGGCACCTCTTCTTTGAAGAGTGCTTCACGTGACTCGCCCTGAGCAGCTTGGAGCGCGTTGTGATGGTCCATCTCCCGTCTGACTACGGACGTGTGGCCACCAGCTGTAATTGCCACATGTGCTTGACTGGCCCAGGTTCCAGCCAGCGTGGAAACGCTCACCGCCATCCATGCCAGGTAGAGCATGATCAAGCGTCTGGAATGAGCAAAAAACAAAGTACTGCAAACTTGGGGTGAGCTGAATAGCTGCATCAAGTGGCACGTCAAGTCAGCTGTTTGTTCGCTATTTTCTGGATCTTCAGATCTGTAGAAGTCCAGCAGTTCCAGTCGAAACGTACAAGCGAGAACGGGATGGTCCACCTGCACCTGAACCCTGAACCTCTACATGGGGGTTTACGAAAAGAAGGGGCCCTTAACAATGACCCCCTAATAGTAATAATAAGGACCCCACTAAGGTACCCCTAATTTGCGGAAACCCCCACTCCAGTCTTAAAGTATTCCCTTGGGGTCCCTTTGTAATTATGCTATAAAACCCCCAAAACCTTATTCAACTTCTTCAGGCCCCTATACATCAGCCTCAAGGGCCTGCTTAGCAGCAGCCACTTGCGCTTCTTCGGGGCGAAACAGGATGCGATCCTCCCACTCCGAAACACCTACACCCCTAAACCTCCAAACCTCTGTACACCTACCTATCCCCTCAATCCCAACACGGCCAGACTCCTAATTAACCCTTAAACCCCCAACCCTAGACCTTAAAAATCCCAAACCCTAAACCCTAAACCCTAAACCTTAAACCCTAAACCCTAAACCCAAAGGCCCCGGCCCCTCAGCGAAGCCGCGGACCTCTCCGGCGGCGGGCGGCGCCTCTCTGCATCGGCGCCCGCCAGGACCAGAGCGCGACCGGAAAGGAAGGTTATAACTAGGATGGCCCGTAAAACCCGCTGAATAATCTTCTTGAATATGAACCTCCTAAAGCCAATAAGTGAAAATATATAACATCCCAAGGGCCTACCCAGACAATTATTGGGCTGACGGCTTAGGAATACTTGGGGGTTGGGAGTTCTGGAATTTTTTGGGAGGGCTTTGAAGGTTTATGTGGGGTTCCGGCGTGTCACAGGGCCTCTAAGGGCTCAACAGGGCTCAAAGGGCTTCTGGGGCTAATCTGGGGGGGGGGGGGGGTTGATATCGGGCTGTTGAACATGTCGTGCCCTAAACCCTAAACCCTAAGCCCTCAACCCCAGAAAGCCTAAGCGCGCGGCGTAGAGGCTGAAGGCTGAAGAGCCTTTCCATCCCACCCGGCTCCGCCCCAGCCTCCTGAACCAATGGTTTTACCTTCTTCAAGCCCTAAACCCTAAACCCTAAACCCGAAAGCCGAAAGCCGAAAGCCGAAACCCTAAACCCTGTGTCCCTCCGACTTCTGTGACACCTTCCACCTTCCGAAAAAACCAAGCCGGGTGTCGGAGGATATTGGATGACACTTCCCCTCCAAAGGCCCGATCTACCCCTTAACTAGGCCATATTGGTCACTTCTCGAAAAGATGGTCCCTTTTCGGGTCCTTAGATTGGAAGGGCTTTTTTAAGGGAACTTATACCCTCCAAAAAGGGAAGAAGGCTCTTCTGGATCCTGGCTTGGAATGAAAGCAAAGCTCACCCAGCGGCAGAAACCCCCAGGGTTTAGGTTTTTAGGGCTTGGTGCCCTGAGATTTGTGTGGATTCATCTGAGCCCTAAACCCTAAACCCTAAACCCTAAACCCTAAACCCTAAACCCTAAACCCTAAACCCTAAACCCTAAACCCGAAACCCGAAACCCGAAACCCGAAACCCTGAGCCGCCATTTTCCGCCACGTGTAGTTGACCCTTCCCTCATAGTGTGACATGTCGAATATCATGGGATCCTATACCACTCCCACCTTAGCCATAACCCGGGTTTAGGGTTTAGGGTTTAGGGTTTAGGGTTCAGGGTATAGGGTCTAGGGTTTAGGGCAAAGCTATGTAAGGCCCCAAAAGGCCCCCAAAAAAGCCTGAAGGTAGGTAGGGACCGCCCCAGACCCCGGAGCTTTGGGTAGTTCAGGTTTCAGGCTAAGGGTTTTGGAAGGCACAGCACCCTGCACACTAACCCTAGGCCTTAAACCCTGCCCTCCTGGGTAGTTTTTTCGTTTAGGGCTTCGGGTTTTGGGTTTGGGGTTTAGGGTTCAGGCGGGGGTGGTACAATATCCCATGACGGAATGGGATTCAGATCCCGGTGAGCGACTGGGGACCGTCGAGGGCTCAGAGTTTATGGCTTTGGGGTTCAGGGTTTTGGGGTTCTCATGGCTTTGGGGTTTAGGTGTCTAAGAGGTTTGGGGCTTCGGGGTTATTGCTTTGGGGTTTGGGGTTTTGGAGATTAAGTTTTCGGGGGTTTCGGAATTTCACGAATGCCATGTAGGAGCAGCTTGAGGCTCTAAGCCCTAAGCCTGCCACTACGCGGACGTCCATGGGTGCTTCTACGTAGGGCCATACAGGACTGTAATTGGGGGCCATAAGTACAGCTTACCCGACTTCATGGCAAGAACACATGAAACCCTCAACCCTACCTGCTCATAAGTAAGTCTGAGGCCCCCTATGAACTCAATAGTTACGCTGGGGTCCATGGTTGGATCGCACATCTCGTCGCGCCCCAGACGTCGCGTGTGAGCTGCACACGGGCACGATATGTCTCGACTTGCTGGGGTTTAGAGTTCGTGTTTAGGGTTTACGGCTTTGGGTTTCGGGTTGAGGGTTGTAGGGTTGTAGGATTGGGGTTGGGGGGCTCCTGCTAGCTATAGAAACAACTATTTGTTTTGCATATATATATATATATATGTATATCTACACTGCAGCAGTTTGTTTTGCTATGCCCTGCTGTACTGTGTTCTAAAAACGGCTTCTGGGCTGAAGAGCAGACATCTCCAATCTCAAGAGCTTCTCAGCCATGTCTAGAGTCTCGAGTTCGTTACGTTCGTGGATGGTGCTTGAGGTTCGGGTTGGGTTGTGGGACCTGGAGCACTTACAACCGGGGTTCTACGCAGCAGGGCAACGACAGCTAACCCAAACCCTAAACCCTAAACCCTAAATTTGTTGTACTTGCAGGCCACTTACACAGGCTCCTTGGCTTGCTAGGGCTTTCGAGTTCGTTCTAAACATGCGTGTTTGTGTGCATGTTTTTGTTGGAAGCCAAAGGGTTAAGGGTTTAGGGTTTAGGGTGTAGGGTTTAGGGTTTAGGGTTTAGGGTTTAGGGTTTAGGGTTTAGGGTTTAGGGTTTAGGGTTTAGGGTTTCTGCAAGAACATTCCCGTGCTTGGGCTCTTGTGACGCATGTGTGCACGTAGATGGACGCAGACCCTGAGGTTAGCCGGCCCCAAGTTGCTAAGCACCGACTCAGGTCCCTGAGCAACTCAGTAAAATACCCAGATAACCCCCATGTCATTGGAGTATCAGCTTCCCTAAACCCTAAACCCTAACTCTTAAACCCTAAACCCTAAACCCAGACACACACACACACACACTACTTCAACAAGCTCCTAGGCTTTGCTTTTGGGGTCCTAAACCACAATCCTTTTTAAAGGGTTCAGGGTTTAGGGTTTAGGGTCCCCGAAAGTCCTGGCCACCCAATACGACTCACATCTTCAATAAGGGGGGGGGGGAAACAAGAAGATGGGTTATCGATGGGCCCCCCGCCCCCCCCCCCCCCCCCCCCCAGCGCCCCCCCCCCCCGCCCCCCCCCCCCCCCCCCCCCCCCCCCCCCCCCCCCCCGCCACCCCCCCCCCCCCCCCCCCCGCCCCCCCACCCCCCCCGCGCCCCCCCCCCCCCCCCCCCCCCACCCCGCCCCCCCCCCCCCCCCCCCCCCCCCCCCCAAAAAAAAAAAGAGGCTATTTCCCAAATAGGAATCATGTCTTTATATACCTCAATGCACTATAACCCTCACTTTTGAAAACCCCGACTAAGGTTATGAGGGCCTACTCTGCGCCCTTTTGTTGGTTGTCTAATCGCCCAGCACCAGGATTATTGTCTGGCAGTCGATTTTGCGATTTGACACTCCGTTCCAAACCCTGACCCTATGTATCTCCAAAACCCGCAACCCTATTTGGGTCTAGGATTTGAGGTTTAGGGTTTAGGGTTTAAGGTTTAGGGTTTTGGGTTAGGATTTAGGGTTTAGGCTTCGCTCGGTTCTTGGTCTGCGTCCGTGCCCACCGGCAGAGGAGCGAGGCACTTCGTGCGAGCTTCCCTGCAGGGGGTGTGTTGGGTTGGCCTCCAGTAGGGCTGATAGGCTGGGTTCCCTAGTTAGGGGGTTTAGGGTTTAGGGTTTAGGGTTTAGGGTTTAGGGTTTGGGCTTAGGGTTTAGGGTTTAGGGTTTAGGGTTTAGGGTTTAGGGTTTAGGGTTTAGGGTTTAGGGTTTAGGGTTTAGGGTTTAGACCTAGTGCAGACGACCGACTTAGGCAACTTACACCAGGGCAAAGTACCTCACATATGAACGTATGATGTCTCTTTGTCCAGGGTGTTTTGGTTGCTCTAAGACTCTAGGCAGGAAAGAAGGATGGTTTCTTACTGGCTGTGTCTTCTTCAGGGGCTTCTAATTGTATAGTACCTAACAAGGTCGAAGCTTACCTACAAAACCACAATTGCCAAAGCCCTAAACCCCAAACTCCACACCCTAAGCCGTAAACCCTGAACTCTGATCCGTCTGAGCACCCAAGGCTGAATAGGGTTTTCGATGAGCCCTAATCCTGACCAGTCCAGAAGTCGAATTCTAAACCCTGAGCCGCCTGCTAAAACCCCAAACTACTATGTGATAATCACGATCCCTCAAGTGCCCTTATAGGGAAGAATGCTTTTTGGGGCTCTTAAGCAAAGAGTAACACAACCTCAAAACCTGAAACCCTAAAGCCCTAAACTGGGTTTAGGTTTGAGGGTTGAGGGTTTAAGGCTTACGGCTTTAAACCTCCAACCCTAGCTAAAACCCTAAATCCTGACTGTGTACGCAACTGGAGACACGACGTTCGGCAAGGAATGTTTGGAGCTGTGCTGGCGCGGCGCGTGCCCTGAATTCAGAGACTCTGGAACGGGTTTAGGGTTTGGGGTTTAGGGGCGTAGTCACGTGAATAGTAGAGGGTGTAGGGATTTTGGGCCAGGGTTTGGGGAGGCCATTTGCTTAGAACAGGTAATTTGGGCACAGTACTGTACTTACTACTGATTGAGACTATTTCTAGGATTCACAGTCTGCCTCTAAACCCTAAAC